CATTCACATTCGTGCGGCGTGCGGCGTGCTCCCTAGCTGTTGCTGGCTGTGCTGCCTTTGCATCGCTCCGCCCAGCAGGACAATCACGAATCTTAATAAAAAATGAAGCCTCTGCTGCTGCAGCTGTGATGCCGATGCGTGATGCATGATGCTAGACTGAATACAGTCACGAGTATATGGCTGTGGTGTACGGTATACAGTACAGTACATGTACATAGGCACTTGAAACACGCCCGCGCCGCGCTGCACATCGCTGCTGTTTCGCCGCGCCGATGCTCCCTTCTTGGCGCAATCTGTGAACACGCGGCGCGGCACAGCTGCTGATTGATGGACGTCTATCTGCGTGTGCCTGCCAACATCCGTGCCACTCACGCTGCAGTCAGCAATCGTGAATAGATGCTATACGTAACAGGCCATGCAACGACTCGCGCGGCGCGCATGATCTGCTCGCCCGCCCGCTCGCTCGCTCAACGACAAGCGTGACTGACGACTTGCATGGATGTCGTTGCTCACTTGTTCTTTTGATTCGATGATCGTGTGAACATGTGCTGCCATGCATGGATGCCGATCGACTTGTCAGTGGGCGTGTGTTCACCCTGCAGCATCGTCTTGAGCTGTGCAACCTGGCGTGATGACAGGGGGGGCCGAGGGGGCACATCTCGCTGCCTCCGCGCGGCATGCAGCGACCGTATACGCGCAATGTGTCGGATCACGTGCAAGCAAATTTTGGAAGCTCATCATTCAATTCTTTCCGCCTTCTGATGGTGATTGTACCAGTAAGTGAGGATCTCACCTTCTCCCGCTTCGCTCGCACCCGCCCGCGCTCTGACATAAGCGTGTCAAAGCTGACTCGCTCAGACCGGCAATGTTGACTGAACGTCCTCAAATCGATCGTCTCGGTGCTTGATTCAGACGTTTGCTCATCCGCCCCGTCCGTGCGTGGATCATGGGCGGCGATAGCGTGGCGGTGGGGGCCGCAGAGGGGCAAGATGAAGTCGTGAACGTCGTCGAGCAGCAGCAGCAGCAGCAGCAGCAGCAGCAATTCGAAGTGGCATCAGGCGGAGCGAGGCAATGCAAAGCCCTCTTGCACTGGTTTCACACTCAAAGCGGGGCGCAACTCCATCCTGCCGTGGAGGCAGCGTCATGCGCCCCAGCATCGCACGGCAACGGTCTCTTTGCCAAGCACCACATCTCCAAAAACGCGTCCATCTTGCGCGTACCTGCTGCTTTGTGCATTCATCCCAATGCTGCCCTCGATGGCATCGCAAAGCTGCTGAGCGTCAACGAGGAGCAGGTCAGACGGGCTTTCGTCAAGCATCAGCTGGCTGCTCGAGACGCCATCGTGCTGTACGTAGCGCTGGCCGATCATTTGTACAAGCTCAATCAGTCTCTCGATGAGTCGGCCAGTAAATCAGCTTCCAGCTCCAGCTCCACTCCCAGCTCCCGCCTTGTCGCCCCTGCTTTCAAGGCCGACGACTACACTTCCAGACCCGCGCAGAAGAGGATCGAGAGGCAAAAATGGCCTTGCAGCGATCACGATCCTTACATCCGTGCACTTCCTTCACAATTCCTTCTGCCGACGTTCTACACCCTTACCGAGCTGCACCTCTTCCACCACAGTCCCATCGAATCCCACGCGCTTCGGTGCCTGGAG